TTCACCAATCACTGTTGCCTAGTTGTATATTGGATGGAGACGGAGGATTGCTTATCATTTAGGGAGAACTTGGTATCACAGATTCAGAAAAACCACTGATACAATGAGAATCACTGATTATTTCCAGTCTTAGTAACTTCTCTGACCACTGTTCCAGTTTCTATAATCTTGAAGGTTCCTTCCACTTTTTATAGCTTAAAATAGTTTACTGAAAAAAAAATGAGACCAGTAATAGCAGCCGATGTATTAAGACCTTCAAAAGATCTCTACTTTAACTTCTTAAAGGAGTCTGAACTGATATAACCGAATGTACAATCGTTCTTTCATTGGTGTTTTTCACATTCCTAGATTTCTGGTTCATCGGTATTCTGTCCTGCAGCAACATGCAGAAGCGAATGGCTTTGAAGGACTTGACATACCTGGGGCCACTAAATCTGGTTACCATGACGATTCTGATGAGGCAAGTGACATGCATCTTTCTAGGTAGTATTGGCTAGATGAGAACCTGACAACTGTGAATTGTCTTTCTATATTGTTTTAGCACATGTCACTTTAAAAAGATCATCTGTTTTCTCAGGTAATGGGGATTCTAAGAGACTAGCTGGCTTTATATTTACCACAGCCAGTTTGAGGAGAACTCTTAATTCAAAATGCTAATTAATTTATAATATTTTTTTTTCTTTCTCTTTCTGCCCAGGATTTGTTGGAGTAGCGATGTTCTCACTAGGACTGCACACTTCATGGGTTTGGCTGCTGCTGTAGAAGGGCATGATTGCCAACAGTCCATTTTACTTCCGATATCGATGCCTTTCCCTTTTCTGAGAGAGTCTATATTCCTTTTGCTTCTATCAGATGTCTAAAACCAACAGAGCTGCAAGAACTGCATTAGATTTTTTTTTAAAGGGTGAGGTCAAGGTTCTCTAACTCTGTGGAATGAAGAAGGAAAGCTGTTTAATTTAAATATAGTTTTATTTTAATCAGATTTTTCCAGCTCTAAAGGGAGAACTAATAGGACTGTGAAATAAGGATTTCACTAAATATTAGCATTACTAGGTACAATGTACTATGCTGCTGGAAGAAACTCCCAAATCCCCAAATGGGAAACACATACTGCGCTCCAACACTGTGATAAAATTGCATTGAAGATCTTAAGCACGACAACACTCCTAGCAAACAGAGCAATGAGATGCTGGTCAGAGATTGTGGGTATTAACCAGCATCACAATGGGCTGTGTGCCAAAATGCATTTTATTTTTGTTTCATCTAAAATGTAATCAAATGGGTAGATGTGTACTGTGTAATGTAAGGATGACTCCAAGGCTTGAACTGAGTCTGCAGCCCAATATCCTATGATTCCAAGGAACTGAACTGTGAAATTAGCATGTGTACTGCCATAAATTCAGAAACAAACTGCACCATTCTGGATGGGAAAGAGATGGTTTAAAAAAATAATAATCTAAAAATAAGCGGTACAGATCTGTTAGAAGTAAGAACTATTTAAATTGTTTAGGTACTAAATTAGATACATTAGATCAGTTTCTTGAAGGAAACCTTTGTTCCAAGCTACAGCACTATGAAGGTTTCCGTATTTTCCTTTTCACTCTTTTCTTGAAAGCAATAGGTTGGTGCTTGCCACTTCATCACCATTTTACTATTGTGGATTTATTGTGGAGCCCCTCTGTATCAAAGCAGTTAAACTGTTGTAAAACCCTTGTGAAATCGTATGCTTGATTTTCCTAAAGCAATAGAAATGGAATCTTCACAATATTTAATTCAAACTGTCTTGAAGTCTAGTTAGAAACTGATCTACCAGAAAACCAGTTGACCAGTTGAAAGCACTCCAGTCCCCAAAAGACAACTTTGAATTTTATGTGGGTAGACTTTTGCTTTCCCAATAGGGCGATTCTAATGCTTCCCTCCTGCAGTTTTCATCTGTGCTCTGGGAGGTTCTTTGATCCTCAAAATATATTTGGGGTGCAGGTTGGGATGGAAGGAGAGCAATATTTTCCAATACATTCAGCTACTGAGTGAATGTTTCGGCCAGTTGCTGAAACATATTTGGGTAAATTCAACTGTAACAATGGTGAGGTTTTTCCACTCATGGTGGAGAGAAGAGCTGCAGTGTACAGACAGTAATACATGGTTATTGAAGTTGAAATTTGAGGTGTCCCCCCTCCCCCTAAATTTGGGGAAAACACTGGAGGAGGATTCTTCATTTAAAAAATATTTCAAGACTATTTTAGGGATTCCATTATAGATACCATGTGCTTGCTTCAAAACGTTAGAAAACTGTTTCCAGATTCAACTGTTGCATCCAGAGTGATAACTAAGCTGCAAAACACTGAGCCATGTTGCTCACCTCATTGATAAAACAAATGGAATCCTTTTATTTGCACTCCAAAGGAATGTTCATAAACATTAACCTTGGTTTTTGATGGTTTTTATTCTTCCTTTCATTAAAGGATCACACCCATAAGAAGATACTCTTGTTTCAGATATATGAATTCAGTTTCTTTAAAAATAAAGAATTGTGACTGACTTTTCCTCATTTGAGAGTTGGGCTTGGAAGGTAGAACTTTTTTAAAAAATGGAAAAGAACCTGTTCTTTTAAGGTCAGTTCTAAATCCGGATCTCAGGGTGTTTTGCGTGATGATGTTCATCCATCTATTCCCTTTCAGTCTTACCTGGAAAAGGATCCAACCAGCAAAAAATACCCATTCAAGGTTCGTGCATGAGATTTCTCTTCTTCTCTGCTGCCATACTACCAATCTGGCACTTGAGATATACTTCGAAAGATTATGATACTTGAGATGCTGCTATCATAGCATTGGAAATCATAGTTGTTGGGTGGGGGAGTATGCAAAGACTCTGGGCTGACTAAAAATGGAGGAAATTGAGCTTATATTGCACTAAATTGGGCAACAAATATCACAAATTTCATATGTTACACCATCTCATCCCGATCTAGCATACACATTCCTATTTGAAAATTACCACCTTCTGCATTCTTTGGTGATTGTTTAATATTTATCTCATCATTCATCTTCATTTTCATTTGGACTTAGAATAACTTTATTCTAATTTCACTTCATCTTGACGTAGTCCCTAAGGGTAAGCTTGATCTGTTGGAGATGCAGTTAGCTTGTTACTGGTGACTTGCATCAGATCAGTTAGGATTTGTTAGCTGTTCAAAAGCTAGCTGGTACTTCAAGATAGAGCGGGCTACTAAAGTTATAATGCTTTCCAACTCTCCTTTGATAGCAATAAAATGAGAGTGAAAAGCCTGAAGACAAGCGGTTGTCTTGAATTTGTCCCCCATCCCTCTCAATTCTTACTGTGGCCTTACTGTGGTTTCTGATCCTTTTTCTTCCTTTGTACCATTGCATAATATAATTGAGCCCAGAGTACTGTAGTAATCTTTCCAGATTGTTGATCCCTGATGAAAAAAATGAATGCACCAACACGAATACTCATAAGCAGTGGCCCCCAACCTTTTTTGTGCCGCGGCCCGGTACCGGCATCACAAAATGATCCGCGGCCCGGTACCGGCATCAGCACGCATGACAAGGCAAGGCGAGCCGAGCGACCGGCCAGCCAGCCGTCCCCCGCTTCTCCCCGCCACCTTCAACTCCTTTGTACCTTTGTCGATGGGCTTCGCTTCGGGACAGCTTCGGGACAGTCGCTCGGCTCGCCTTGCCTTGGGTGCTGAAAGAATCCTTGCGCCTTAGTTTCGTTCGAAGCCCCCCCCCCTTCGATGAAACTAAGGCGCGAGGATTCCTTCAGGACCCAAATGCCGCTTTCCAACCGGAAAAGCTCACCCGGAAGGAATTTCTCGTCAAACAAGATGGCGGCGCCCAGCAAACCGCCGGCCCGGTAGGAAATGTTCCACGGACCAGTACCAGTCCGCGGCCCGGTGGTTGGGGACCCCTGCTCATAAGACAAGCAAAATGGCAGGAAGAAATGTTCCTGGAAGACCTGTTCCTCATAAAAATCCCACAAGTTATTTTTTGCTTATAATATTGGATAGTACACAAGCACACCTGATATATCAGGTATGTAACTTGTACAGTGCAATGATGTTGCTTAAAGCTCATGATTACCAGTTCTTGAAATAAAAGATAATTAGTCCTTTATTACACTCTAAAACTATTTAAACGTACTTGTGCAGAACCTCCCCTGTGTAGAATTAAATTGCTCCGCTAAATTGGATGTGATGACTGAAATCTGGTACTGGAAATGTAGGAGAAAATCTGTCATAGATCTTCCCCAGCACAATGTGTATGTAATAAGTGACTACTTCCTCTTTCTAGTATATCTCAATTTTCCCTGTATATGAAGCTGTCTCTGAGAGGTTTAGAAATCTTGTTATTGGTATTTATCTCTCTCAGGCCTGGGGCCTCTTCCTTTGCCTCATTTCTGTTAGCCTTTTCTTCTCAAGGTAGAGTACATTGACGTGGTGAGAACATTCCAATAAACTGAAATCTGCCCAGTAAATCAGGGGCTTACGACTGCTACACATCTGTGCTGGGCAGTGGTAGTCTTCCTCCCATAGTGTTGAATATGTAGATAATGTGACATATTTCTCACTGTTTTGTAAATGTTGCCCAAGCAACATAGCAACCATGGCAGTGTTGCCATTGCATGCGCTTTGAAGCATAATTGTCTTCCTAATGTGCCTGCAAGGCAGACCGTTCTCGTTCCATACCATCTGTGGGATGGCTACGGAATGCTGTGTAGCCAAAAGCCATTGTTAATAGCACTCCTCTATACAGAAATTTCCTAAGATGTACAGTCTGAGGCAACATGCAAAAGATAACACAAAGGAGCCATGTATAGAGTTTTGTAAATATGCCTGGCTATATTATAAATTTGTACTGGTATTTTTCTGTATATTTGCAATATTTGGGTTAGAATTAATAAATGGGCTTTTATTTGGAGTTTATGTTGTCTACCTTTACTCTTTGAGTATCAAAGCTCTTATAGGATTATGTTTACAATTAAGCATTACTTAGCACGTGTTTTCAGACTTCCTGCACAATATTCTGGTTTTGTATAAATGAAAGAGGTCTAGTTTCTATCCCTGGTTTGCCTTCACAATTAACTGCTTACTCTCTTAACCATTGTGTTCTTCTATATAGTAACTTGACCAGTTCTTTGATTTCCCCTGTGAATAGTCTGCAGGACCTCTCTATTAGAAAGGTTAGGTCTCTTCCTTTTGTTTCATGGAAGAAGCTCAAGGCCTTTCTTTCTGAAAAATTATGCTTCAAGTTAAACAGGTCATGAATAAGAATGCATGGAAGAGCACTGGGGCATCTGTCATGACACTCTGAGTTCCACAAAGTTTGTATTGTTATCAATCAAGAAATTGCCAATTCTTTAATACAATATTTTTCAACCTCAGCAATGTTAAGATGTATGGACTTCAGTTCCCCAGCCTGGAAAGGGACAACTTGAAGTGGGACAACTCACCCCAGGATAATTCAACAAATACAAAAGTTAAATTAATTTCAACGGGTTGTCCTGTGGCGAGTTGGGGCAGTGAGTTGTCCCTTTCCAGGCTTCCATTCTGGGAGCGGAAAGTTGAAGTTGAGCAACAGTTTCACTTTTCTTGCTGTTCAGATCTTAATACGCATAAAGTTCATTCCAAGTTGATTAAATGCAGAATGATATTTTAAGAGCAAGCGACACGGTTTGAGACTCTTAAATAGAGGTAAGAGAGGAGAGTGCTATTTTCAGGCTTTCAAAAAAAATTGTTTCAGAATGTATGTATATATATAGCTTGGGCAAGTGATGGAACCATTCTTACCACACTGATTAACAGGCTAGAAGTGGAGTAAGCGAGCATTAAAATCTGATGGTTTGGATGGAACAGTAACTTTTAATTTTCTTTGAATATTTTAAAGCGTAATGGTCCTGTAATTTCAATCTTTGGATTGAAATTTCTATTCTCTCCTTCCCAATAGAAAGCTGCAGTTTCATCAGAGTTTCCCTTTCACATCCTTGTTTGCTCATCTTGCTAATATGGTAGATAGGACTTTTATTTCCAATACATTTCATATCTAGATTTATTCTTTATTTTGCCACTCCAAACTGAATTGGGGATACCACAAAAGGCCTGTAAGGGCCTTCTAGTTCAAATACATTCACATTAAAACCCTGCAAAATGGAATTACTGTTAGTTGGCGATGGATTTGGCTCTATTTCATCTCTGATCTTAGCTCTTGAGAACGTTGCATCCTTATGGAGCAAGTGTGTGATTTGGGAGTTCTCTTGGATTCATGGGTTTTGCTAGAGCAACAGGTGGATACCACAAAAATTGTGCTAATTATGGGCCACCTTGGATCAGGATGTCAGGACAACAGTGGCTCCTATTCACATATACACTGCTGTAACATCCTCTGCATAGTGTTCCTTTGAAGATGACTTGGAAACTTCAGTGGGTCCAAAATACATGTGGTGGTTTCCGTTACTTATGGGTAACACATTTAACAATGTTGCAAACACTGCATTGGCTTGCATCCATATATTCACAGGTCCATTTCTGCTGCACATTCAGATGTCCTTTTGCAATCTTTAAGAAAAAAAATGCCCATCCATAGGTGATAAAGGTAGTGGCTTGGCAACATAATTTTGTGACTTCCCTTGCCCTTTAAAACACATGGCTATTGAAGGTAAAAGCACTTCTGGACTTTTTAGGAAGCCTGGAAACATTCCATCAAGAGTACTCAGACTTCCTAATTTTTTCTGATTACTATGTGTTTTTATTAATTATTTTTGTAGCAAGTCACCTAGCGTCACATATGTGAGATAGGCAGCTATATGGATGAAATAAAAATGAATCAAAACTACCTCAAATCCTTGTGAAGTTTGTCATCTATACATCACTGTACAAATAAACTAGTTTAAGTATACAAATAAATTATAAATGCTTGTGGACCCAAGTACAAATATTTTCAATATTTGCTTTTGGGTGGTATCTAGTCGCAGAATTTTTTAGGTTACAAAATCACTATAATGATTCAGAACTGTTGATCCAAGTGACTAGCTGAATGGAACAAATTATACTGGAATTTTGGAACAAATGGTAGCATTTGATATTTCATCTATTCTTGACAGAAGCTGTCTGCCTTGGATCTGATCTAAGTGGAATAAAGGAATAGCACTTTCTCAGTGAAATTGTGCAATTATCTTTTCACCCCTCCTCTAAAAAGCTTTACAGTACTTGCCATTTCAATCAAAATAAATTCAAGGAGTTCCAGCACATTAATTCAACTCTCCTTCAAATGTGTTGTCTTTTATCATCACCACTAAATGCTGAAATTATTCCTACTTCTCTCAGTAAAATGGTACTACTCTTTGTGAAGTGTTGTAGTGAGTTTTGGGGACCTACTGATGAAGACATGAGGATGTATTTCCACGATGCCTTTTTTCTTATTAAAATGTCAAAACTCAAAAAAAAAAAAAAAAAAACAAGTCCACATCAGTACTTCTCATTAGTATAAAGTGACAACTCTAAAATGTTTGTGGAAAAATCTGAAGCCTGGAGTCATTACAAACAATGGAGGAGATGGGTCTTTTGAATTTAGGAATATTATTCTCCCTCAAAACACCAGCATCTTCGGCTGTTTCCTAGTCAGCACGAATACTCCTGATATTGTTTATAGGATGGTAAGTTGCATGGTAATCAATTATATCAGTGGCTCAAGTCGTTTTGCCTTTCTTAAAATCTACAGCCGTCAGTAGTGCTCCCATAGTGATGTACTTCTTAAAAATCAGTGTTAATGCTCAGAGCTCAGCCTCTTACCCAATCAGAACGCTACTGAGGTTTTGTTTCATGGGTTTTTTTTCCTGAACAGCTTTAAGGCCCTAGGAAAGATCTCTAAATTTCATACCTTCATTAGCTGCTGGATGCTTGTAGTCCATCAAGATACAGCTTTTCTTTGTGCCTTTCTGCAGTTATTTTCCACCTGAGAGTTTTAATTGCAGCACTTAACTTGTGCCACTCCTGAATGCTGCTTCCTTTGTCCTTCCCTGCAACCCTTTTGTTCAGCAATGCATTTGTGAAAGAGATTGTTCCATTTCCCCCCCTGAAATTGGTGCGCGGATCTTATATCTCTCATACACAATGGGCATCAAGAAGGAAGGCAGGCTGGATCGGGAAAGATCTGCTTAATGTGTTTAGATTTGTGCAGAACATGCATTCTGCACACACACACACAAATACGAAGCAGTAAAGACGATATGGCAGAAAAATTGGAGATTCGGTATCATATACACTCTTGATAACTATTGAAATGTTTAAAAAGATATGGGGGAAAATGGAGTGAACTATGAAGATCAGACATTAAGGTACCCTACATTTAGCTACGTTGTTATAAGTAACATGCCTGGAATTCAAAGGAAAGCAAGATAAATAGCAAGGATAGCTTCTTATTTCTAAGCATAATTCTGCAAGATGACAAAAGGCATGGAATGTTCAAGGATAAAATGTTCTTGAGATTTAATGGTAAATATTTCAAGCCAACAATGGTTTTCCATATTAAAGAAATGAAATGGCTAAGTTTTTATTTAGAGTTTATATGTCTACACCTGTATTCTCCAAATGCATCCTTTTGGTTTCCCGATATCGGCCTCTAGTTTTTAGAGAAGAAGTGCATTTTCCTGATTTTAAAAATCAGTATTAGACAAAAGCAAGAATGTACAAAGCTTGATGTGAAAATAATTTATTTCACTAATGCTAAAGCAATTTTTGATACAAGCAAAATAAAGAAGCAGGTCCCAAAGTGATATCCTACATAATTAGAGTGATATCTAATAACAGTTGAAAACAGCAGATCACTAAATGTCAGATGCAAACCTGTTATATGATTTTTATTGCCTACACAGGACTTTTACTGTATTGATGAGATATGTGACTTTACAAGCTAAAAACTACACTCCCGTGTAAATAGCATTTTAATGGAATACACAACTGTTAAAACTTTTATATTAACCTTTGGGTCATTAAATAACAAATATGAGAGAGAATACATACCACGAGACTACTTACACAGAGGTGAACGAGGTACCTCATCCCTTTCTTGGACATCATCAAATAGCACCAAGTTGTCTATAGTGTCCTTGTCAAGCCAAGATCCTTTGAAGTTGGACCCACACTATTATTGGAGGCGGTAACAGCAATAGCAAACTAACACAACTCTATTGAGTTTTGAATCATCAAGGACTATCAGCTTAGAAAAAAATGGCTCGTTGGTTGGAAAACCAATTCCAATTTCCAGATGATGAAATGCATGGATGAATCTATAAATGAGCTGCCTGCTTCTGCAAATGATGGTCGCTGCTGACAGGTACGTTTTCCTTGGTAATAATTGTCAGCATTCCCATCTGGCAGTGTGCATGTGGGTGTGCACCTTTCGTGGTTTGAAAATAATATAAATAGAGGTACTGAAATGTGAAGGCAACTGGTGAAGAAACAATGCAGCATAACATTGTCCATCACTTGGCTTTCTTCTAGTGGTACCTAGTCCAGGCACCAGCAGTCAGGTAGGAGCTCTTGTTTGAAAAGACCAGGAAACGGAGTTACTCATTTTCAGGTTAATGCCAATAGGATGGGTGAACAAAGTTCTCTAGCACAACATGTTTTTTTTTTTGCTAAGAATGTGATGCATTAGAATTAAAAAGTGGCAGAAGTTGTAGAAACAAGTTTAAAATAGTTGTCATGTTGTCCATATTGGACTACCTCATATTACGAACAATGCATTTCTCAATAGAAAAAGTATAGATGCCACACATGATGGTCTATTGTCTGCTATAAATAATGTTATACTCCACATACGTTTGGTGGGCTCAGGGCTCTGAATCTAGTATGGTGGAATTGACTTCTTGTTCCATGATGGCAGATATAAAAATGACACAAGATGCAATTTAAGAATGATACCAGAATAACATTTAAGTACCATTAATTCTATGTTTAATTTTGTGCTTATGTTTGACTAAAATCTAACTCTTTAGAGATATAATTACACATAGGCTACTATGGAGGTTTGAAGTTTGATTTTATGAAAACCATGAACCGAGCACCCTATTTCTAGGCTTCAGAGCACATTCCCAGTTCTGTTTTCTTGCATGAGCACTTGTCAAAGCTTATTTTTATTGGAACCAAACAGGTGGGTGAAATTATGAGACCCACCCTAATAGTTTGATTGGAGGCACTGAAGTGACAATCATTTTTTTCCGTGTTGCATTTTACCACTTTGTTTCAGAAATTGGAGCTGGAATGGCTCTGTGTAAAGCCACAGAACTTCAAAACACCCTAGTTGTAGTTACAGAAGGAAGGAAAAACCAGGGAATGGTTGGACACACTGGGTAAGTTTTAGCATGAAGTATATGAAGAGTTGTCATGCAGAAAACAGAACAGAATTGTTCAATTTGTTTCAGAAAAAGAACTTGGGTTTAAATAACATAGAAGTATATTTTGCTTGGGTATTGGAAAAAGAATCCTAAAGGTAAGAGCTTTTCAACAGAAGAACAGATTGCCTTTGAGGTTATAGAATCCGCTTCTTTGGAGATGTTTTAACAAAAGCTGGAATGTCACCGCTGAGAGATGCTATAGTTAAAGATTCCTGCACTAGGCAGGGAGTTGGATTATATTTCTAAAACCAGTCCAATCCATTCTTTGATGTTATTTATGAAACTAGATTTTTTTTCTTCTTTAAGTTCTTTATTAAATTTTCATTGACCGTTAAACACAAAACGTTCAGGGAGTGCATACAAGCCAAATTGGAATATACAACAGATCTTAAAATGAAAAATAGCCTATATATCATAATTAAACATAGCTGAAGAAGAATTGTAGAGTAGAGCAAGAGACAGAAATGAAAAAGAACTCTTGGAAAATTTGGTACTTGGAAGTACAGTTTCACTATTGAAACTATCCCCAATCCTGTTGTTCTGACTTCAGTTCATTGTCACATGTTTTGTTTCCAGAAAAAGAAGGAAAGCTAAATTATTGCTAAGCTGTGTAGCAGATCAGACCTCCTGCAACGATGGCTTCAAATTCAAGTTCAAGGAACCACACCAGCTCTAGCTTGAGTGAACATTTCCTGTCCTACAGCAAGACAGTGTTTGTTGTTTTTTATACTGTCTTCTTCCTCTTGGGCATTCCAGGGAACATCTTGTTGCTCTCTGTACTCATCAGAGGTCTCCAAAGAAAAAGTGGCAGCCATATCTCCCGCTTGACTGATCTTCTCTACATCAACATAGTCGCTCTTGATCTCTTCTTCTTCTTCTACAGCCTCCTGGTGATGTTTGGCAATTCCGTTCTCAAGAACTGGCACTTGAATCACCTGTTGTGTGTCACTAATCACATCTTGTCCTTATGGATCTCTTTCGCCAACTTCTATAGTATGCTGGCTATTTCCCTCCTCCGCTATACTGCTGTAATCCATCCAATGCGAGTGGTATCCATTTCCTTAAAGCAGATAGTTGGTGTTTGTGTGTTCATTTGTATCGTTTGCCTTTTGTTCACCATTCCTGTTTGGATTCATTATAAAATGATCCTCCTGGAAGGGGAAATATTTTGTGTGAACAAAATGGAAAACAAAGAAATGACCCTTTATTTAAGACTCCTGGGAGGGATGGTATTCTTGCCTCCCATGTTGCTGATGATGATCTGCTACTCCAAGATCATCTTCAGCCTAAGGATGAGGAGAGTAACATCCATTCAGACAGCTGCTACCTTGCATATTAATTGGCGAGCTACAGTGATGATTTTGGTCAACTTGGTAGTACTTGTGATCATGTGGTTTCCATACTGGCTAGTGATTTTCTTCATCAGGTATGAAGAGTTGTTAAACACAGCTTGTAAGTATATAGCGTATCACTTGACATTCTTCCTGGCCTTTGCAAATCGCTGCATTAATCCATTTATCTGCTTTTGTCTCTCTTTCCAATTCCGAGCTAGATTAAAGAATCTCTTTCAGAGGGCAAAGAAAAGACAGAATCAGCTAAGCACCATCTACCTGGGTAGGATAGATATTTTGGGTAGCTCATCATAAGGCTTATGTTATATATAGGCTGTGATTACCAAAGATGTGGGGTTGCACTATTATTGCCAAGCCGGAAGATTCCTATGAAGCACTCACCAGAGCCAACGTAATTTGCACCAATTTTAAAATATGTACTTGTTTTCTTAATGTGGGAAAAGACGATAGTTCTGGGATATCGTTAGTTTGTCACAGTTCTAGTTGCTTCATTCCCTAAAAGATCTGAAGGAACAATTACCTTTTAATTTCATTATTGGTCCTAAATACGGCTTCTTTTTGAGCCATGCTATTCAACCAATGACATATTCTACTGCACATCTGGAGAGAATTGCTCAGTTTAAATGTCTCTGGATAGTTTTCTTCCTGCCCGAACTACAGGTTGCTCCCTTTGCTTTGTTTATTTCTGAGTTGTTTGTGTACCTTTAATTGGACGCTGATTCATTCCCAAGGAATATTACATGTTTGTTCACTTCAAATGGTTCTAGTTGCAACAACAGAAGGAGGTCTCTAGAGGCAATATTAATTGCACTGATGCTTCTGCATTGGGAATTAAGAGTCCCTGGAATAACCTTTAATATTTGAGTTAAGAAATTCAGTGTCTTGCCAAATAGGCTAATGAGATCTCAGGAAGAAAGATTCTCTGCACTCATCCCTTAAGAGCCATAATTTCAGCCACTATTGTGAAGCATCCCCTCTAACAAATAAAACCTACAGTAATTCAGGTTACCCCTAAGACTATGGTATCCATCCACCCTTACATCCATATCTCCATTCCACACTATTCAAATTGCCAAGCTCCCAATGAAAAAGATTGCCTGGGTATACTTCTCTTTTGTTGTTACTGCCTCACACTGACACATGTACTATTCATAGAAAAGCCATATCTAAATCTGTCCACTTTGATTCTGGCTATAACCAGTAATGGAATGAAAATCAAAGGGGGAAAAAAGAGTTTCTTCACTCCTGAGAAATATAGCTGCCACCTCTACCTAAAGCTTCTTAACGTAAGCGACGTTGCTTTAAAAATATCTGTATCCTTCATAGGATTATATGACTTCTTCCATCTATCTTGATGACCAAGCAGCAGTAGGCCTATGCTTAGTTCAAGGAGAGTGGGAAACAGCAATAGCTTGTACAGTGATCAAGACAGGAGGGCCTTTAATCTGGAGAAGGCCGGAGTGACTCATCTAGAATTTTTTAAAAACAGTAATCTTATTGAAAATTACAGTACAGCAGTAAAATCTAGAAGATGCAGAAAAGAAAAAACAAATGTCAAAAAATCAGAATATAGTAAAGAAAAAGAAATATATTAAGAAGTGACTTACCACTTTATCACAACAAGTCTAAATAATTTTACTAACTTATCACTGTGAGGTTAAAAGTGAGGATTGGGTAGGGTGTGTTGGGGGTGCCGGAGAGACTAAAGGGGGCAGGAAGGGTGTGTGGGAGTAAAGCACGGATCAGGAACTGCATGTGGATGTGCGCAGAGTGTGTGAGAGGAGCCAAGTGGGTCAGGGAGGATACACAAGAGTGAGACTAGGATCAGAAGCAAGCACTGGGGCACAAGAGGTGCCATGTGGGTCTGGGTGGGCATATGTGGGGGTATGGAGCAGGTCAAGAAATGTGCATGGGATATAGGAGTTACCAGCACAGTGCTGGGGGGCTGGGGGAAGATTGTGCAGGTCAGGAAGACTTCACAGAGCAACCTGTGATCTTCCCTGTTGGCTTCCCCATTGCCTATGCTCTTGGATGACATCTTATGGGAAGCTGGCAGGTAGCTTGGTAATTATGATGGAGTTGACACTCCCTGCTAATTCCCCCCCCCCCCTGAAGAAGAGCCAGGTCTCTAGACATTTCCAAAAGTCCAGGAGAGTGGAAGCCTGCCCACGCAGGGCTTTAAAGATCATCATCAAAACTTTGACCTGGAATGGATCCAGAAGCAAATCAGCACCAATGCAGCTTGCAAAGCAGAGGTTACTTGAACTGTCCTTGGGGTGCCCAAAATTGCTTATGTGACCACATTCTGTACCAGCTGAAGCTTCTGGATACTTCCCAATGACTGGAAATAACCAGGGCATAAGTGACTAAGTGGAAAGCCTTCCTATCCAGGAAAGGCTGTAACTGGTGCACCATAAGTTGAGCAAAGGCCCTCCTAATTATCTGCTCTTCAAGCAAGAGCTGTGAGTCCAGGAGAACCCCCAGATTGTGCACTGGATCTCTCTGGAGTAGCGCAATCCCAATCAAGACAACAAATTCCCAGATGCAAAGAGGCCTCCAGGCAATGTGAAAGAACATCCACAGCATTACTCATTTCACTGAGCCCGAGTTCAGAAATGGTTTTTCATTGCCTCCTTCCTAGGGCTGAAAGAAAGAGACTGGCCCAAGGTCACCCAACTGGTTTTGTGCCTAAGGCAGGACTAGATCACACATGGTCCTGGTTTGTAGCCTGATACCTTAACCAATACACTAAGCTGTCTCGAAGATCTGTTGATCTTTGCTATTCCTGAATTAATCCAGTTACTGTAATTGAGGAGGAGACATAAACATCCAGCTGAACCTTGTGTTGCATCCTGCTTTGTTCAGTTTTCATCCCACAGATACAGTGATTTACCTCTCTGCCACCTCCAGCTTTCCACAGACTCCTATGTGTTTTGTGGTTTCCCATTTATCAGCTCTGTTTCTGCAATTTTTCTCTCTGCATAAATCGGTAGCCTTTTTAGGGGAAAAAAACCTTTAAGCAACACAAGAGAAGAAAAAGCTGAGACTTGGTTTTGTACTCAAAGCATTACCCATTCTTTTGTTATAATTCTAGACATATACATGCCCAAATATTATTTCCACATTGTGAACGATACAAGGCAGACCATATATTTAGGAAAACAGAACCAGAAGTATGATCCATGAGAACAAGCAAGGAAACCAATTGTCAAATAACATTGTTTGCAACATAGTTTATGAATCTTGCCCAATGGGCAAAGTGGACTATAATTAATTAATTCTGTTGAGGATGCTCTGTCAATATATGGATAGACCTTCTGCCCTGCTCATATCTGTGGTCCAGCCCAGATGTGATTGTGCAGTTGAAGCCCTGCCCCTTATTTACATGGGTGACATGGGCGACACGCTTAGAAAAGTAGGGAGGCTTAAATCATGTGATTGCAACTGCCATCTTGATTTTTTTAAAGCGCCCTCCTCTCCTTTCACATTTCCTTTCAAGAAAGGCTATTGAAGAGAAGAATTGGAGGGATAAGATTAACTGTCTTCCAGTATTTGAGGAGCTGTCAAAAAAAAGAGGGGATTGACTTATTTTCTAGGGCACCACAGGGCCCTAGAAAAGAAGTAATAGGTGTAACCCAAACCTAGAAGTAAGGAGAAATTTTCTGACAGTAAGCACAATTAATCAATGGAATAGCTTGCCTCCTGGGGTCGTGGATTTCAAAAACAGACTGGACAATCATTTGACTGGGATGGGGCAGGGGAGACCTCCAATGTCCCTTCCAATACCATTCAGTGATTCTAAGACGAATCTACCCAAGCTATCAGGGTTAGGGGTGCAAAGAGAAAAGAAAATTGTTTGTTGAGCTGACCCCTAGATGTCGCTGCTGCATTTTAGAAAAGTTTCTTAATAAAATAGGAATGCAAGCTGGAGTTCTGAGCACAAAGCAGCACTTTAATCTTCATGTGAAATTATTGTTCTCCGAACATAAATTACCAATGCTTGAAAGTATTAACAGTGACCTCTCTGCAAGGAGTTCTGATGGCAATGAGCTTTCATCTCAATAGCCAAAGAATGAAAAAAATTAAATCAAATGCAAATATAAACCAATTTCTTCAGCAAGATGGAAGTATCTGATAAATGAATAATACATCTGAATATTACCAAACTGGTACAAAAGTTGGACATCACGATTTAAAAAAAAATCTGCTTAGTAGAAGAGATGGCAACATGACTGATTGCCTTCTCCATTGTTTATCTCCTACTTCCAAAAGAAGTGGGCTGCAGAGACAAATTGGGCATAAAAAGATTATTCCTATATAAACTCCCTGCCTCATAAATGTGGTAATATTGGTTGTACTCTCTTGATATACTGAAACATAATTTGTTGGGGGAAAAAACCAATTATCTGGATTCACACAACACATTAAGCGGCAGACCTTGTTTTAGAAAACATTATTTGGGGTTCTTGCAACATACTGGAACCCTGGCTTGTGGCACTCATTTATTTGCTACGAGATAGGAAGATTGGAATAACACTAGAGCTGCAACCACCTCTGAACTCTGAGCTGGCTAAGAAATGTGCCTTTCCATTACCTCTTCTGGTAGCTGTGGTTCAGAGGTGGTATTCAGCAGGTTCTGACCAGTTCTGGAGAACCGGTAGCAGAAATTTTAAGTAGTTAGGAGAACCGGCAAATACCACCTCTGACTGGAGATTTTGCAGTATCCTTTCCCTGCCAGGCCCACCAAGCCATGCCCACAGAACCGGTAGTAAAAATGTTTGAATACCGCCACTGCTGTGGTTCTCTTTTTCCTAGGCAGCAAGAGCCCTCCTTGTTGTATGAACCTTTGAATGGATTCCAAGAATCCAATGTATATATGACCCTCTGTAGCTGCGGCATGAACATCCTTATCATGGCTCTCTAACTGTGAGTTCTTTCTTATCCGAGTGAGCATCAGAGACAATGGCTGAAAGAGTTGCCCTGTGCCTATGCCTATCCATCCAAGACCCCTGAGGATGGTTGAACTCTACCTTAAATATTCTGACCAGGAAGTGACTCTCTAGACCAGTCAAACTCGCATGGTCATGTCATCGTCACGCGACTTTCCCCCCCTTTGCTAAACCGGGCATGGACGTGGCCAGAGCATGACTTTTCTGGCCCATGGGCTGCGAGTTTGACAGCCCTGCCCTAGACATATATCCAAGCCTCTCCATCTGCCTCCCTTCAAAAAAGATTAGGCTGTGGTTTTCCCAAATTGAGTTGAACACCTTGGGAGGAGAACTAATGGTTTTAGT